TGTGGGCCCAGCATGCACTGCAGCTCCTGTTATATCACTCACTCTGGCTGATGTTCTCCTCCCTGCTGTTTACTGCATGTTCTGGAGGAACTCTTCACACTAGTGAGTCAGAAATACAGCAGCATAAGCCCATCATCTTGATAAGACCCCCGAAAGCTGCTCTTACACCCCAGCGGTCTATTCACCTGAAATCAAAATTCAGTCCTTATTTACTTTGGTTTCAATATGGCAAGTGGCAAATAAGATGATATTTAGTCATTTAGTCATTTATGATATTTAAATGATTATAGTAGTTTTATGATTAAAGCTCTGTATTTTTTATTGTGGTGGGGCAAAACATGCAATAATGCAATGCAATAATGCAATGCAATACAATGATGATTGAGAGATGAATAAACAAATGCTCCTCAAAAGCCTGTTGTATCATATTTGATATATTTTAAAATTATTTTTATTTAAAAAATAATAATGTCTGAGTTTTCAGCAATATTTTGATCATGCTTCTAATTTAGAGGAACTCTGTGTATCAAATACGATACAGTAGGCTTTATAGTGTTAAGATATATATAATAGTAAAAGGGAACTTTTCAATCTTTTCATTTCATTCACTCTGAAGAATTGGAATATAGTGACTTGGAGTAGCCTGGACTCCTTTTATGATACTTCTTGTAGAGTTTGGAACTAGTATAAATAGTTACATAATGTTCATTTTTTGTGCTAAAATATTTTTAAACCTGATAAATTGCTTTTTGCACCTGTTCTCTGCTCATTTTGTTGAGTACATGGCCTGTCAGTCCATCAAATTGAACGGGATTGATTTGTTTTTATCAGGGCATGAACTCTGTCCCACTGTTTCCGCCTCAAAGCTCGAGTTTCTCATATATGTGTCTTTATAAATTACGACAAGTAACCCTACAAGCGATCTAATTACGTGGGAAGAGTTCAGACACTGTGCTGCGGGATAGATTTTCTCCCGATGGCCCTGGATCAGCCTTTTGTACTCTGCGTGAGCTTTTGATGCACTCTCTGCTGTGCTCAGATAAGACTTAAGCACTTCTGCTGAGATCTCTCAGATTTTTTGGCCTGTGGGTCAGTTCAGATGGCGCCACAGTCAGTCTGCAGTAGATCACTTTCTTTCTGTCTGTCGTCTTTCTTTCTCTGTTTCCTCTCTCCCTTCTAAAGGCCAAGAGCTTTGAGCCCATGATTTTAGGAAGCCACTGTGCTGTTTCCATGACTACCAGATGTCACCTGTTGCAGTTGCAGCTGCAGATCTGACCTGAGAGGAATATGGAAAAAGTGACAGATATTAGAAATTTATAGAGGGGGACACACTAAAAAATAAATGCTATTTCACTGTCCAGTTCATTTGCTCATTTATTGGTTCATTTAATTATATAATATACTATATACTAGCTAATCTAATTTTTATTTTATATTATTTTTTTCAGATCTCAAAGCACTTCAGACAGTTTCCAGACATTACTGTGCAGATTCGTTTTCTCAGAAAACGTTAAAACCAACACACACAAAACAATCGCTTTCCCCTGATATCTCTCGTAGTTTGGTGACACATCTCTCTCAGTGATGGCAAAGATCTCAGAGCACTCATGCCTTTATATTACCCATAAATAGTGCATTTTATTTGATCTGTTTCCCAGAAACTGAAGTGAACTTTCCATTATGGCTGTGTAGGTGTGCTGAGTGGTTTCTATACTGTAGATGGTTATCCACTTCTGCCTTGCTGTGAGTCTGGTGAACACACTCATTTTTTCTTTAACATGCAACTTCACTGTATGCTTTTATTTAGGCCGTTGTTGTTGTTTTTTTCATTTGAAGTCTTTTATTTGATGTTAAATTAATCAAATACTATCTGTTTTTAAACTATTTACACTGATATTAGACCTATTTCAGTATCAGTATTATGATACTGTTAGCATCAAATTGTTGTTTTGGCGGGCTGATTTGCATCTTTATTATGTGGTAAAGAGGGCTCATGGAAGTTTTCAATGTCTGTAGATAGACAGATAGAATCAACCTACCTTGTTTTTTCTTTTGATCCTTTTCAGTGTGAGTTTTTCCTGCAGCATGTTTGTATTTGGCTTCTTGCAGTTGACGGTCAAGGCCTCTCTGTGTTTTGTATGCCAACCGCTGTTTTGTCTGAGATGGCAGTGACCTTTGTGATAGCTCATGCTGTTTCTGCCTCTCTCTCTCAATGGATGAACTCATCATGGCATTTAACTTACGGTCCTTTCACTCTAGATGATCAAAACTGACACGGGCCTTTTTGTACAACATTATCCTCTCTCTTCAAGGTCATAAGCGAATCTGGGACTTTGTTTTAAAGGATTGTTTCAGTCAGCATTTCCTCATCCTCATGTCGCTCCAAATCTGTATGACTTTCTTTCTTCCATGGGACATGAAAGCTAATTTTTATTTTATATTATTTTTTTCAGATCTCAAAGCACTTCAGACAGTTTCCAGACATTACTGTGCAGATTCGTTTTCTCAGAAAACGTTAAAACCAACACACACAAAACAATCGCTTTCCCCTGATATCTCTCGTAGTTTGGTGACACATCTCTCTCAGTGATGGCAAAGATCTCAGAGCACTCATGCCTTTATATTACCCATAAATATATCAAACTTCAAAGATGGAACATAATGAATGTAACCATAAAAGTTTAGAAAACATGAAGGTGAGTGAATGATGACAAAATTCTTGTTTTTTTTTGTTTTTTTTGGTGAACTCTCCTTTTAAACTCATTTTGTTTGTGTGTGAGATTTTCTCAATCTCTTGTTGTGCTCTCCCTCAGCCTGCAGGAGTGTAATTTGATCTTTATCGGTTGAAAATGCTGTTTACATGAGCTGGAACACGGCACCAACACTGGGAAAGTATGTTATGGGGGAGCATTGAGCTCTGATGTCTCCCTCTGAGTGTTATAGATACTGATATCCTGTTTAGCATCACGTCTCTCTGCGTTCACTAAATCTGACTGCTGGAGTCCAATCCGGTGTACGCATCAAAAACCTTTTAAGCATTGCATGTCTTCCGCCATCCACAACCGTATTTATCACACGGGACGTTGCCTTTTGACCTGATATACCAGATATGAGAGAAGCGATGTAGTAGATGTGAACGTGGTGCTGTGATTTATATTACATGCAATGAGTGTGTTGCTTTATAGGGGCATGCTTTAATGAGGTTTAAAACACTCATTCAGAGCCTGTTTTGAGGATGTGTGGAGTTGAGATGAGACTAGAAATGCTTTTTGAGAGCTGTTTTAGTTATTCATCAAAGCTGAATTTGCTCATTCTCCATTTAGTCTTGTTTATCTGTGCTGTGAGCTTTATGCAAAATCAACGCTTTTTTTTTTTGCAAAATTAAAATAGCAGCTTTCTCTGTGTTCCTTTCAGATTCCTCAATTCCGGTGGTTATTTTGGCCTGTTGCAGAGCGTTCCGTTCAGTTGATTATTCTGCATTATGTGCACGGAGATAAAAGGCAACTCATGTGACTGTATGGAAAGGATCAAAGCTGGATGTACCAATATGTGTGTGTGTGTGTGTGTGTGTGTGTGTACATGCAGTTCTTTAGTTGAAGGCACCAAAAGTCTGTTTATTTGACCAAATTTTACTTGCATTATTATTATTATTACAGTTATACAGTTAGACCTGTGGAATTTTCGTCTGCAGAAGAAGCATCTTGCCATTCATGTAATTCTACACTTCCCCATGACCATTGCATGGTAATTTTAGCATATTTTGGTTAATTTGAAAATACTTTTGAATATCAGTTAGAGAATTAAATAAACAATGCTACATTGTGTAAATCAGAATTATTTAAATCGAAATTCCACAATCAGCAAAGAAAATGTGGTAAAAAGTGTGCTAATAAGCATGACATTTTACTATTGCTCATACTTAAAGGTTAGGGTATTCACACAGACTATGTGTTGAATTGAGGTGCATAACATGTCTTGAGTATTTTGTGCTACAGACATAAATGATACCTCAAGTTGTGCAACTTAAGGATAATTGTGCTATTACTTTTATAAATTTACAGCTTTTGCCTGACAGACAATAAAGCCCAAACTCCATTGATTTGATGTTGATGTTAAAGTAGAGGTCGGAGTCTTTTCCAGAGACCAGATTGTTATTGTTATACATTTTAATATAATAACACGATAGCATCATGTGTTGGCATCCACCCAAAACACCTTTGCATCAAGGTGGTGACTGTTCCACCTGCAAGGACCACTCCTATTTTCTTCTGAAAAAAAAATTATAAAATAAAAATCTAGCAATTATTGTTATTCATTTACATTTTTGAAAGCAAAAACAACCTCCACAACCTCATATTCTCATGACTGTACAGAATAAATTCCTTTTTTCTTAGAAACACCTACATCTTGATGAATGCTGATGCCCTAACTGGAATTTCGACATCAGAGCCTAATAATAAATACAGACACTGCTCATCTTTATCAAGACCTGAATAAACCCAGTGACCTCTGTGAAGTGAGATCTGTCCTCAGTTACACTACAGATCACACGCTGCCTGAGGACAGATGCTTTTAAGAGCTCTTTATTGAAGTGGTCTTGGGCTTCTTTACATGGGGCAGTGCAAGAGACAGTTCTCTTCAGACAAGAGGAGGACAAGAAAGGGGTCTCTCTCACCCCAGTGAACAGATTGGCTTGCCCCCAGCCTAGGGCAACACAGCTAGTCGACCGAATGACATATACATAAATAAATACAAAACACTACTTCAAGTAATCCAGTGTCTGGAGTACAGAGCGAGGGCACATTTGTATATTTTTTTGTGTAAAGGGGGACACTGTCCAGGCAGTCAAAAAGACAGTGTTCCTTCTGGGTTTGTCATATTTTAGATGATTTTATACTGTTATTAATTTGTGTTCTATGTGAAAGGAAAGAAAGAACGTGAGAGAGAAAGAATGAAGAATCTGATTTGACTGATTCCTACACTTTTTTCCCCCCTTGCAGACGAGGCGGCGCACCAGAAGGAGTGCATAGAGCAAGACGACCGAAGAAACAGCCACGTTCCCGAGCAGTTCGCTGGCCTCCTTCATGGCTCGTCTCCTGCCTGCGAATCCCCTGACAACCCTTACCAACTCTACAGCAAAGTGCGAAAGTTCAGCGTTCCTGAGCCTCCGCTCCGGCACGGGAATTTTCTCAGAGCACCCGAGTACTCGCCCCCATTCCCTCGCACAGGCAGCGAGGCGTCTGCCCTAAAGACCCAGAAAGAAGCCAAACCGCAGATAGTCTACAGGACGATTTTTCACACCCAGGTCAACCAGGGCCCATTAACGCTCACCGAATCAGGCAACAAGACCACCGGGGTGCATGTGAGGAACGGGGAGGTCCGGAGCAAAAGCACGGGGAGCTCTAACCCAGCAAGCAGCAATTCCGGCTACGAGGAAAGAGCCTGCACTCTCGGGAGGATGAGGTCCATGCCCAAAAATGTTTTGGACCTTCAGCTGTCCAGAAATTTCTCCAAATCAGACTCGAACCTGGTGGCCGTATCTCCCATCGAGGAGGAGCAGTGGAGTTCCAGGGGGCAGAACAGCCCCGGTAAAAGCAGCCCCAACAGACTAGAGAGAACCCCCTCCTTTACGGCAGAGTGGGAAGAGGTAATAACGTTTTAATTACCAGCTAATTGCAGAATCGTTTCCACTTAATTAATTCACTTAACTTGAAGTAACCAAGCTGACTGGCTTGAAAGGTTTTCTTTCGGTGCTCGGTGTATGTTTTTGATGTGTGATGCAAAATCATGCCCTTTTCGCCAAAAAGCCTAAATTTTTCAACAATGTTGTCATGGCAGCTAAATGATTTTTAATGTGTTTCTTTAATATATTAAATATGCGTAATGATAGGCCCAGGACACGATTTTCTCTTCTGTTTTGCGCTGACGGTGATCTGTTTTTCACTAGGGCAGCTTTTGTACAGGGTAATGTAGCATATAAAAAGTCAAGCAATCAGTCAATTAATGGAGGAAGTGCCTTTGAATAATGACTTCCTAATTATACTGAGTGAACTCATAAATCAAAACAAAAACATGTCTAGGTCATAATTAAAATAATAAATAAGAAGGTATTGTTTGCAAAAAGAAAAAAGTATTTAATTATTTATTTTCATGACAATTAATTCCCAATTAAACCTTAAGAGTTTGATTGTCATTAGATTTAATATCATAAAAAATATTGTAATAAATGTTTTTTATTATATTATAATTAAATAACAAATTTTACGACCATGTTCATTTTTTTCCTTTTTTTTTTTTTTTTTTTTACAGTAATGTGAGATTTTTGTGTGGGAAATGTGCTTAATTATCATTACAATAATGTTAAAAATATGACCTGAACATTTTTGACAGGTGTCTTGAGAGATTTATCTTATAGCTACGTTTTATTAGAGATAAGAATGAACAAAGTACAGATGATAAAAGAGATTTTCAACTCAATTGACAGTCTAAAATTTCCTCCTCTTCTTTGAATTCTTCTTTAAAGTTAAATCTCTTTCAGGTCAGCGCTTCTGTTTAGATACATGGGGGCTTCCCGCTTCATATGACGACTAAATCTCCACAGTCAATACATTTAATGCGTCACAGTATTTTCTTTCCAGCCTCACCTGGCTGTCAGGTCTTCAGAAGAGAACATATATTAGAAATAACTGATCAAAGGGGAGAGGGGAGAGTTCTGCATCCGTTCATCTGGGGCATCTGAGTGACTTTCTCTTTGGAGTAAAAACACGGTCCGCTGGGAGACAGCGAAGGGCTGTTCTTTGAAGGCAGGTGTTCAGCTTTACGGATGTGAAACGACACTTTCTTCACTCCGAACATCACGGTCATTTTAATGAGGAGACATTCATCAAAAAACACTCTCCCAGCTCTCTCCAAACTGACGTATTCTCAAACGAACCTGATTGTGATAAATTGCCTTTTCAAAATTCCCATTTCTCCCCCAGCTTTTAGCAAACAATTAAGTGGTTTTGGGGCACAATTACTGATATTTAAGAAGAACTGAAAGTGGGCTTGTGGGAAAAGAGCAATGAGGGAGAAGTCTGTGGGGAAATGCCATAGAATAAGGACATAAAAATAGAGATGAGGGCCTTTCGTTATGCAAACACAATTTATCTCTCTCTCTCTTTTCCTCTCCACAGATTGACAAGATTATGAGCTCCATAGGTGCTGGAATTGGAACAGAGTTGGAGGGGATTACGGAGGATCACTCAGGTTTGTGTGTCTCTGTGTGTGTGGTGTTGCTGCATATAGTCAGTCATCCCACTACATTTAACATAGATCCATAACTATAGGGAGCTCATGGCATGATATGAATGTTAACTAACGGCTGTGAAGTGTGCAGCGCTGTGAGACAGGAGGGTTTCCTTCAGTAGTGTCAAAGACAGGCTCATAGACAGGGAGCTTTTTGAGATGTAACCATGGCTATCGTTCACTCTCCTCTTGTCAATGTGCTCTTCCTGTAGTCATAATGAGAGCAGGGGGACAAGAAGTGGATGGACACTTTAGACCTCTAAGCACTGATCTTGGGACAGTTTTGCTGTTCGCAGTGGGAGGGAAAGGAACATCTCATTGACTGGAAATCAGTGTACTAAGATTCTGACAGCAATGATAAATAGTGAAAATAGTGAGAATCAAATGCTAGAGCTAATAATGAGGACATTAACATTGTCTCCTATAGCCTCTCCTCTTACCTCCTCTCTTCTCTGCTCATCTCCTGTCCTCTTTCCTCCCTTCTCTTGTCTCCTTTTGCCTCCTCTCATTCTCTTGTCTCACATCCTGTCCTTTTCCCTCTTCTCTCACCTCCTCTCCCCTCTCCCTTTGCCTCTTCTCTTGTCTCTCCTATACCTTCTTTCCTCTCTCCTCTTTTTTTGGCTCTCATTGTGTCTCCTGTTGCCTCCTCTCATTCTCTCCCCTCTCCTTTAGCCTCTGCTCCTGTTTCCTCTCCTGTCATTCTCTCTGCTATCCCCCCCTCTCTTTTGCCTCTCCTTTCACCTTCTGTCCTCTCTCGTCCTCTCTTTTTGCCTATCCTCTTGCCTCTATTCTCCTTTGCCCCTCATGTTGCCTCTTCTAATGCTTTCTTCTCTCCTACTCTACTTTTGCCTACTTTGCTTTTGTCTCTTCTCCTGCCTTCTCTCCCCTTTTTGCCTTTCCTCTCCTGTCATTCTTTCCTTTCACCTCTTCTCATATCCACTCCTCTCTTTTGCCTCTTCTTTCACCTTCTGTCCTCTCCTCTTTTTCTTCCTTTTTGCTCTCGTATCCTGTTGCCTCACTTCTTGCCTCCTCTTCTCTCTTCTCCTCTTAGTCAACTTCTGTCATCTCCTCTCCTCTCTGTTCACCTCTTTTCTAATCCCATCCTCTATTTTGCCTCTCCTCTCACCTCCTGTCCTCTCTTTTCTCCTTTGGTCTCACCTCTTTTCTGCTGTCGCCTCCTTTCCAGTAATTCTCTCATCACTTTTTGCCTCTCCTCTCACTTCCTTCTATTCTCCTTTGCCCCTCATGTTGCCTCTTCTAATGCTTTCTTCTCTCCTACTCTACTTTTGCCTACTTTGCTTTTGTCTCTTCTCCTGCCTTCTCTCCCCTTTTTGCCTTTCCTCTCCTGTCATTCTTTCCTTTCACCTCTTCTCATATCCACTCCTCTCTTTTGCCTCTTCTTTCACCTTCTGTCCTCTCCTCTTTTTCTTCCTTTTTGCTCTCGTATCCTGTTGCCTCACTTCTTGCCTCCTCTTCTCTCTTCTCCTCTTAGTCAACTTCTGTCATCTCCTCTCCTCTCTGTTCACCTCTTTTCTAATCCCATCCTCTATTTTGCCTCTCCTCTCACCTCCTGTCCTCTCTTTTCTCCTTTGGTCTCACCTCTCTTCTGCTGTCGCCTCCTTTCCAGTAATTCTCTCATCACTTTTTTTTTTGAAAGGATTCTTTTCGCCTCTTCCGTCACAACCTGTCCCCTCTCCTGCCTCCTCTCCTCTGTCATTTTTTCCACTTATTGCACCTCTTTCCTGTCCCTTCCACTTTTTTTCTGCTGTCGCCTCCTTTCCAGTAATTCTCTCATCACTTTTTGCCTCTCCTCTCACTTCCTTTCTTTTCGCCTCTTCCGTCACAACCTGTCCCCTCTCCTGCCTCCTCTCCTCTGTCATTTTTTCCACTTATTGCACCTCTTTCCTGTCCCTTCCACTTTTTGCCTCTCCTCGAACACCCCTCCCCCATTCTCTCCTCTCATTTGCACCATCTGATTTTGCCTTTCATCTTGCCTCCTTTCCTTTTGCTTCATGTCTATCTTTTCCTGTCCTCTCCTCTTGCCCCCTCTCATTTCACCTTCTCTCCTTTCATCTCTCCACTCCTCCCACCTCCTCTCCTGTTCTTGCACATCTCCTCTCACCTGTCCCCTCACTTCTTGCCTGTTATCACTACTTTCATCCCTTCCTCTTGACTCCTCCCCGTTTCGTTCACCGCCTCCACTTTGCCTCTCCTTTCTCCTCCTCTCTCTTAATTTCTCCCCTCACCACCTCTATTGTCACCTTTCATCTAGCATCTTATTCTTTCGTCTCGTCTCCTCTCACCTTTACTCTCCTCTCACCTCCTCTACTTTCACTTCTTCTTTCATCTCCTCTCCTCTTGTCTCGTCTCCTTTCCTTGCCTCTCCTATACTTTTGCTTTCCTCTGCAGTGGTCCCTCATTTTTCTGTCCACAGAAAGCCCATTTGTGTTGCCATTCCACCAGTGCTCACAGATGCCCACAGAGTGTGTGTGTGTGTACGTGTGGGAGGGAGCAACAGCAGCTTCTGCACTCAGACAAAGGCTGGGGTTGATCTGATGGCTATTATCGGCAATGTGAGGTACAGCTAGTGGAAAGAAGGGAGGGAGAAAGAGAGACCGAGAGGGAGGGAGAGAGAGCGCACAGTGGCACAGGATGCAGAGGCATACAAATGAGTGTGGGAGTGCTGGAGAAACAGAATTCTACCAAGCAATCTGCACGCTGTCATTCCTATCCTCTTTCGCAAACGCACACTCGCTCGTTCCCTCCCGCACGCACAAACGCGTACACACACATGCCTGTACTCTCCACACGTTGAGACACAGGTTGAGCAGCACAGCGGCTGAAGCGGTGGTTGGTAATCGTGCATCTCTCTCGCCTCTATTGTGGATGTAATTTGGAGCCTTCAGCATGTCTATCTCCACAGCCGGCGTATTTCTCCACCAGCGCGGACCCTAACGCTCACTCTCCAGAGAGGACCCTCTTCTAATTTGCTCTCTCTTTCCGTTTTCCTCCCTTTTTCAACTGTTTTCTAAACATTACTTTCTTCTTTTCTTTGAAATCACTTTTGTACCTCCTTTTTCTCGCTCTTTCTGCCTCTCCCGTTTCCACTCGCGCTCTCCGTCGCTTGTTGAGCATGGCGGGTTCGTTTGACAGTCACTTTGCACGGAACATGATGTGGCAGTGCCAGCTCTCACAGCCGGACTGTCGCTGCTACCGGGTGGATGGCTACTCACTTCTCAAACGCCTCCCTCTGCACCCCTTGATAGGTCCCCGCTGCCCCGTCCAGTCCGTGGGACAGTGGACGGACAACATCGGTCTCGTGCAGTATGAAAACCACCTGCTGTCTAACGGCTTTGACAACGTTCAGTTTATGGTGAGTGTCTCCTTCACATTTCCATCTCTGTCTTTCCCTACGGCCAGTTTTCTGAGCATGTCTTTTTTCTTTTTAGTCATCAGTTGCTTGTTGTGGGTGGTGTGGGTTTGCATGTGTACTTGAGTGTTTGTCGTTTTCTGTTTGTTCTCAGGTGAGCTGTTTTGTGATTATGTGAGATCTGCTCTGCTTGAGTTCTCAGTATCTTAATTTGCTGATCTCCTGTTACATCACGCTATGATATTTACTTAAATGTTGTGATGTTTCACATGTGAATCTAAAGTATTGCCTGGCCTGTATGTTTCCTGTCTGTACTCCAATATCAGCACTTTGGAAACTCAGGAACTTTGGAAAGCAAAGATATTTAGTTAATTATACATTTTCATTATAAATATTTGATCTAACATTTCTAGTTCTCTTAGTAACTGGATGTTCTGTAAAAGAGCCATATAATAGGAAAATAGAAATTGAACAAAAATATATTATTGAAATAAAGAATATATGATAGGAATTTAAATGTGTGTTTTTTAAATTAAACACAATATGTTTCATGATTACCTTATGTTGTTATAAATATTGATCAATGCTGCTATATGTTTATTAGTTTAAAGGAAATCTAGTTAAGCTAGTTAAGAAACCATGTTGTTGATTAGCTTATGCCGTTTTTCTGCAGGGAAGTGCAATGATGAACTGAAAGTGCACTAAAAACCACACAAGTCATCATGAGTGACCCATTAACTCACTTTAGCATGTTTCCTATGCTCACACAGTGGCTAGTGTAAAACAAACAGTACATTGCAATAATACTTTTCTTAATCACTATTTTAGTCTTGTTTTATAGTAGAAATGTCTAAATGTGCGTGTGTTCAGAAGCATGAATGCATTCAGATGCATGAATGCATTTGCCTGGTTTGTGTTGGTGTAGGTTTGGTGGAGAAATTGTTAAGGCAATCCATCTTCAACTACCAAAACAATCATGGTTGTTTAGGAGCTGCACCTGTAGAGATGAAGGGGCAAGTTGGAGGATGTTGTTTCTGGGAAGAGTCGATCAATGCTGCTATATGTTTATTAGTTTAAAGGAAATCTAGTTAAGCTAGTTAAGAAACCACCATCTTCATATAAGGGCTTTCTATACAACCTCACCTGTACAGGTGCAAACATTGAGAGAAAAATGCCACACTAAAAGGATGTTCAATTGAATAAATAGCTTTTATATAGGCTTAAGCTACACATGATTGTGGTTAAAACCTCACGTTAGCCAGATGTTTTTTTTTTTTTTTGGTTTGAGCTATAATGCAAATTTTTGAGAAATAAGTAAGGCTTATTGAAAACATATGTATTGTTTATGCACTGCCATCCAAGTTTCAGTTCAGTAAGATTTTTTAAACATTAATATTTTTATTCAGCAATGATGCATTTAATTGGTCAAACATGACAGTTAAGACATTTACATTGTTAAAAAATTGGGGCTGTCAGTCGATTAAAATTTTTTAATCTAATTACACAATGTGGTGATTAATTAATCTAATTAATTGAATATTGCAGATTAAATTTGGCTGAGAAATTACCCACAAAAATAACTTAAAGCCAGTTTTGTATTACATGAGAAAAAAAGCATGAAATAGATATTACAAAAAGTAGTTTTAGAATTTTTTTTTCTTTTTTGAGTAAACTATCCCTTTAATAAGTTTTTATTAATATGGATTTTTTTTTATTAATATGTAAATATGAAGTGATTTTTTTTTATGAACTGATACTCTAGAAATAAGAAGCTAAAATTTCCAGTAGGTGGCAGTAAATGAATAAGTCATTGAGTCATTCATTTGATTCGTTCAAACGGCTGATTCATTTCTATGTCACGATGTGGGAAGATTTGCATAACACCGCCAAAATGTTCACGCATAGAAATAAGGCGTAACTTTGATTCTCGTTGTAGTATTGTTGTTGCCGCCATGTCGTGGAGACGCTGTGTGTTTCGTTGTGAAAGCGAAACTACTTTGTTTGGTCTTCCAAAAGAGGACACAACTAGAAATCAGTGGTTAAGTTGTATTTACAACACTGTTCCAGAACAGTTCAACCCAAATATTCGGATGTGTGCAGCGCATTTTATGGAGGACGAGGACTGTTTCCTG